AACAACTATCTGAAAATGACTACCTGTTCCACCTTCACCTGTCTTCAGGGTACCCAATTTATACTGCTTACTTTAAGACTGTACAAAAAAACCTAAGAAAATGACTGACAGAAGGCCATTCTCTTGGCAACAAGATAAGGAAGCTTTTGTAAAGCAGAAAATTAAATCTCTCCATAGACAGGACTGACAAGAAAACTGCTCAGGGACCAGACTGCTTGACTTTCATACAGTTTAAGTCTAGGCTTATGTCATTACAAACCACTGAGTGGTATCTTGTTGTTGTTAGTCACGAAGTCATGTCCAACCCATCGCGACCCCATGGACAACATTCCTCCAGGACAACATGTCCTCCACCATCCCCCAGAGTCCACTCAAGCTCACGCCGACTGCTTCAGTGACTCCATCTAGCCACCTCATTCTCTGTCATCCCCTTCTTCTATTTTTTACTATGTATGGGTATGAAAGCTGGACACGGGGAAAGATAATAGGAAGAAAATTGATGTATTTGAAACATGGTGCTAGATGAGAGCTTTGGACTGACAAGGGGCAAACAAGGTGCTCCTAGATCAAATCAAGTCAAGAGAATTCCCTAGAAGCAAAAACATCAAAACTGAGACTATCATACTTTGGATACAACACGAGAAGGCAAAGCTCCCTGGAGAAGACAGTCATGCTAGGCAAAGGCAGAAGAAAAGGAAGACCAAATACGAGATGGACTGACTCCTTAAAGGAAGCCACAATCTTGAATATACAAAAGATGAGCAGGGCTGTCATGGAATGAACATTTTGAAGGCCTTTCATTCGAAGGATCTCCATAAATCGGAGATACATGGCACCTAAAATAGAGCATTTGGGTCATACTTCCTATAGCCCTCATTTTCTACAAAATTTTCTAGAGTCCTCGTGGCACTGTGGCATTGGAACCACAATGCTTGTCAAAATAGTTCTGCCAGCAGCAATCCACCCAGACGCTACTATCAACACTCATGGCCTTCCTCTGACTGCCACATCCAGGGAGGCTTGGCAAGCAGCCTCAACGAGGACAGCCTTCTCAGCAACAGTCTCCAATGATGGGACCAGCTCCCCACTGAGGCCGACCTGGCACTTCTTCTAGCACCAGTTTAAAAGTATACTCCATGACAAGATATTTAATGGTTATGAACAGTATTCGGTGTCATGCGCTGGGGTCCTCCTCCTGAGTAAACATGCCACTCTGGCATGCCTTTTTCCAACAGACGTCACTGCGAGAAGCCTCTGAGTTCATCCAGAGTGAAACGATGAGCCTTCTGTAACATCAAGCGTTCCCTTGTGCTTCTACAACCCCTTCAGCGCCTTGGTCCAGAAAGTGGGGCACTGGGCAATCATGCTCGTCTGCATTCTTCCTGTCTTTCAACCAATGGAGCCTCCCGCCAGTGCTGGCACCTAGCAACTGGTGCCACCTTTTCAGGAGGAGGGACTTCTATGTCTGACAAACGACTGAGGTCTCTCTCCCCACTCCCCTGCTGTGGGACATGTCCAGCCTCTTGGCTCCACCGCCTCCCCATGGACTGTTCGACGGGGCTCCCACCAGCCCGAACTGTCATTCCCTCCTCTTCTCCTGTCTCGTCATTCCTGGGCCAATTGACACAGGCTTCCTCAGTCCCAGTTGCCAACTCCCCCCGCTCTGTCTTCCCAGACATTCCCTAGTCTTGGTCTCCCACAACAATCTCATCTTCACCATCTGAGCTTGAGCTCCCATCAAACTGGGCAGCTGCTCATGTTCCTCTGCCTGGCTGAGCAGTGGGGCTTTGTATCCCAGTCCCGGGGGGGGGGGCTGGGGGGGAGGCCCCTCCCCGCCCCAGAGGCAGGCGGCCAGCCCCGGGCATTATGTTGCTTCATCAATATAGCCACCCAGCTGGAAAGAATGCAGGTTTTTGTGATACATAAGCCTGCAAAAAAGATACTCAGATTATACTATGTACTTGTATAACCATACATACCTTAAAGCATCTTAAATACAGCATGATTATCAAATTCATACAGTGTATAAAAGCCAGATGGGAATTAAGACATCTCTGCATGTAATCTTTTACAAAAATGAAGCCAAAGAAAGGATAAACAACAATTTTACAGTTCCCATTATACCCCACTTTTCTACATAAAATATAATCAAAGGGGCATACAAACATGAGCATTAATACAACATAACCTGTGCAGTATAGTGGCTACCACATTAGAATAGAACCAATACAATTTGGATTCTAATTCCTCTTTAGACAAGTTTATTGCCTGTTGTTTTTCTGCAGTCCTAGCAATATGAACGAGTTTTAGCTGTAAAAAGTACTTACAATGTAATTATGTGCTTTATTGTCTTATTCTATACTACATATTATTGCATTTATCACTGTTGTTCACTCCCCAAAGAGCTTCGACTACTGGGAAGTATAGAAATTAAACAAACAAAAATAATTTGACTGGCTGAATTTGGACCCATTGCTCTCTCTCAACCTAACTATTTCACAGAGTTGATATAAGGATAACATGCCAGCATGAAATCACTGAAGGTAGGGTGAATTGTGTGTGCGTGCACACATGTATAAATAATGCTACAACAAATAACAGCAGCAAAAAAGATTATCTGTCCACTATCAGCATATCACAAAACTTGTGCTCATTCTGTGATTATGTTATTTGAGAAGATTTCTTCCACCTCAGAAATCAGTAGTTTAAAATTATGCAAAATTCAATTATCGTTTAGTTCAATACAGTGTAGATTCCCTTGGAATCTTTACAAAGAACTTACATGAAGTTGGATTAAGTCTGATCTAGGTCAGTAGTCTACATACCAACACCATGACAACTATACCATATAGTGTCATATATTCATTATATCACATACAAATATTAACACAATGCAGTATTACAAATATGAACATCACTGTACATTACTTAGAATATATTCAAAATTAAAATAAGCACATGGATGTAAAGAAATCCCAGGATTTAATAAGCAGGAAAAAGATCTACTACAAAGTCTTCCTCTGAGGCCTGTCTCAAAAGCATCATACAAACTAGAGAAAATCTGCATCCGATTAGAACAGGAAATTGAATAATAAAGGCAAAAAGCTAGTACTATGGTTTCATTTTATCAATACTTACTTGGTACAAACATCAGTCCTGAAAACCATGCAAGTAAATGGTTCACAGAAGAACTCACTGCAAGCTCAAACCAATGTATTATTTTATATGGTTATGCTTTTCACCCACAGTGGATAACTAAACAGAGTGGGTTCTTATGTCATTTGAATCACTTCCCACAGAGTAGCTTGTTCCCTCCACACACAACATGCAACCTTGAGAACATATGGGCTGTTCATGGGGTTGTTTTACCCACATTGGTTTGTTGTGTCATCCAAAGTCAGGTGACTGATCAACACTGCGGTGTCGATGACAAGTGAGGTACTCGGGCAGGAAAGGTACGAACAAGAAATCTCATTCACATCCTGAGAGAGAAGAACCTAGCTTCTCACGTGCTAGGTGGTGGGGACAACACTGGAGACCACTGGGGAAAGCCACTGTTTCTTTCCCAGGACAGCCGATCTTTCCTGCTCATTGCACTAAGCCCTATGCGCCTATGGAAGAGGCCCCACAGCCAAACCATTGCACTAACCCTTAACTGAAAATCAAGTCACCAAAACATGAACTGTCTTTAAAAGTACAAGAAAAGAACCTTCCACTGTACTTTCAATTAATGGCAATGTCTAACCTACTACTCTTTGATAATATTCTAGCCCTTGCAATGCCTTGAAATCCACAGACAACTTTGAACAGATTTTCCTTAGAGCCGGTAAAGTAGGGATCATGCTGAGAATCCAGAATTAAATCCCCTGGTATGCAGAAACAACCGAAGAAATACAGAAACTGAGTTCATTGAGAGAAACTACTATAGACAGAGAGATATTATCTGTAGGAGTACCATATCTGAATTATTTTTGGCCTAACCAAGAAGCATCATGTTTTGTTTTGTTATCTAGCCCCTGCAGGGTAAGAATGAAGTGTACAGAGAATGTAAGGAAATTAATGGGAGAATAAAAGTTATTAAATCTGAAATTAACCATTGTCAGCTCCCTGAAGAAACTGGGGAACTGAAAAAGCATTATATGCCAATGGGCTCCAAATGTTTACCCCGTGACAAGATTTTTGTCCTGTTCCTTCTTGGAGGTATATAGAATAGCAAAGACCCCCTTTATGCCAGGATCTGTGATGAAACTGGGCTTTCAGGAAAAGCAGCTCAATTCCAGGAGTGAGGATGGGAGTAAATGCTCGATAAAGGGGATGCAGAGATTAGAAAGGAACAGGTGGCTTGCCCACCTTTCTCTGGCAGCTTCGCCGCTCCTCTCTGCCCACCGGGGAGAACGCCTGGCCGGCTCTCCCAAGCCTCGAGACTGGAAAGAGCTTCCTACGTGGATTGGGAGGGGCTCGACATCCGCACCTTCCCCCCCCCCCCCCGGCACCAAGGCCATTTTTCCACCACAAGGAGGACGGAGCTGCCATGCAAGGGCCTCCGTGACACCCCCGCTTCATCTCATATGGGGGGGGGGCTGAAATAAGGGAGGCAGAGCAGCGGGGAGCAGCAGCCGCCTTCAACATGGGGTGCATTTGGGGGGGTTCTTGGCCGGGAAGGGAGGACGGCGTTGCCCCCCTTCCTTCCTCCCTCCCCCAGCAGCACATGCAGGTCAGGGCAAGGGAAGGGCCACGGCTGCGCCTTCGACGGGAGGGCACGGCGTCCGGAGGCCAGGGGCGCAACATGCCGCCTCCAGCGCCAGCGCCGCCCCCACCCACCGGGCTTCGCTGCCCCGCCATCGGCGCCGGCCACGGGCAGGAGGCACGGGGCAGGGCAGCGCACGAGCCGGGGCGGCGGGGGGCCAGCGAGGGCTCCGCCTGGACGGGGCCGGGGCGGCGGGGAGGCCGTGGCGCGTCCTTCCCTCGCCCCGCGGCCGGGCGCCGGGCCCCTCACTCACCGCTTTGCTCCCCGAGGAAGACCAGCTTGAATTTCCGCAGCGGGTTGCCGAAGTCGCCGCCCGCCGACATGATGAGCAGCAGGACCGGGTGGGCAGCAGGACAGGAGGGTCCGGCGCCGGCGCCGCCTCGGGGAGCTGCCGCTCGCCTCGCCCGCTCGCTCGCTCGCGGAGGGACGGGGCGCCGGCGGAGCGGAGCAGGCGCAGGGGCGCAGCAGGGCCGCCGGTGCTCCCCTCCTGCAGCGGGGCCGGTCCTTCCCCCTCACGGAGACAGGGAGGCGGCAGGCGCACGGCGCTCCCGACCGTGGCGAGGCGGCGCAAGGGCGGCGGGCGGCGGGCGAGCGGCGGCGGCTCGAGAGGCAGCCCGACCCAACCCCGCCTGCGCCGCGGAGGCGACTACTCAGCCCCGCCCCGACCGTCCGTCCGTCCGTCCGTCCGCCCGCCCGCGCGCGGCCCGCTCGCCTCTCCCTCAGGCCGGCGGCGGCTCCTCCCGCTCCTCCTCAGGTAGCCGCTGCGCGCGCGCTGCCAAGGCCCGCCCACAGCGCCCGAGCCCGGCGATTGGGGCGTCGGCGAGCGCGCGCCTGTCTGTCACTTCCCTTCTGCCAGGGACGCCGCGGCGGCGGCCGAGCCTACTGCGCAAGCGCGTACGGAGAAAGGCGTGCCCCGGCAGGCTCCGGGGGCGGGATTTGAGCTTTTCCGAGGTTTAATGCCGCGGCAGCTTCCGCCTTACGTGTGCGTGCCACTCGCTCGCCGTCCACCGGTAGGATTGGCTGATCCGCCCTCGGGAGGCGGGGCTTTTGTCCTCCTTTCGTTTCTTTCCTCCCACGTGACTCTTCCTCCAGCTTTACGTGGCGTTCATTCTGAAACCCGCTGGGAGCGCGGCGGATCTCGGGTCGGGGGGGGGGGGGGCGAGGCGGCTGTTCTGACAACAAGAAGAGCTCCAAAGTCCTTGCGTGAATTAAAAGCTCACAAAAATGTGCAAAACTGTTGAGATTCTCCGAGATCTTCATCAAGCAAGAGGGGACGTTTTGGAGATTATTATGGTTATTATTGCTTCGCATTTATATCCCGCTTTTTTTCCTTGTGGGGCATCCAAGGCGGCTTATTTAGCTCAGTTTTTTCCTCTCAACAACCCTGTAAGGGAGGATGAACTGAGAGGCTGAGACTGGCTGAAAGTCGCTGAATGAGCTTCATGGCCAGTGCTTTTTTTGTAAAAAAAGGTGCTGCAACTCACCGGAAGTAAGCTTGCGACCACACACACCAATCCCAAGCCGAGCAGCAGAGCAGCATCCCAAGCCGAGAGCAGCGCCCTCACTATCTCACTAAAAGCAGCCTGCAGGCACTATGTTAATAATGTTTGCTGCTGATCTGCTATGATTCAAAATCACTTCATAAAATCCATTGGGAAAAAAGGTGCCGGAATGCTGTTCCGGTGCGTTCTAGGACAAAAAAAGCGCTGCTCATGGCTAAGTGCAGACTAGGACCTCTAGTCTGACACTCTATGCACCGCACACCACTGGCTCCTGGCGTAGGGGCATGGTATGGCCGTGAGCAGGGAGGTTTTCCCCTTAAGTATGTCTAGCCCTGTAGCCTGAAGTGCCTCCTTCTGCCTGATCTTGGAAGCTGAGCAGGGTCTGGCCTGCTTGAAATCTGGATGGATGACTTAACATGTAGTGGTTAAGAGCGTGGGACGGGGACTCAGGCGATCCGGGTTCGAGTCCCCGCTCGGCCATGGAGCCCACTGGGTGACTTTGGGCCAGTCACAGACTCTCAGCCCAACCTACCTCACCGGGCTGTTGTGGGGATAAGATGGAGGAGGAGAATGATGTAAGCTGCCTTGAGCCCTTTGTCGGAAAAAGGCAGGATATACATCGGGGGGGAAAAAGAGCTTTGGTCATGGGTGGTATAAATGTGTAATGTACGTTTTGTCATGGGCAACCATTCAGTCATGTCTGACCCTTGGCCATTCCATGGCTCTCCATGCGTCTCTGTCTCCCACGGCTTCCTTCAAGACCACATGCCCATCCCAGTGTCTTTATGGTGTCCAGCCAACAGGTGCTGGGGCGGCCCCTTCTTTTCCTGCTGATCACTCCCAGCATGATTGACTTTTTGAGTGAGTCAGCTCTCATGTAGGAAAAACAATGGAAAGGCTCATAATAGAGAGAGATCTAGTGATGCCAGATAGGGAAGGGAGGCTGACAGCCACACAACACAGCTTCCGCAAAAACAGGTCCTGCCAGACAAACCTTGTGGGATTATATGACAAGGTTTCGAGGTGGCTGGATGGAGGGGATGCAGTGGATGTGGGTTACCTGGATTTCAGCAAGGCCTTGGACAAAGAGCCCCATGATATCCTGGTGGAGAAACTGAGGAGTTTTGGGTTACACCAAAGCACTGTCCAATGCATTAGGCGAGACTGAGGGAACTGGGTCTCTTCAGCCTGGAGAAGAGGAGACTCAGAGGGGATCTGTTGGCAACATGTAGGTATGTGAGGGGGTGTCGCATGGAGGTGGGGAGAGACCTGTTCTCCCCTGCAGAGGAAGGCAGGACGCACTCCAACGGAGCAAAGCTCAGGGAGCCAAGGTTCAATTGGATGCCAGGAAGCACTTCCTGGCAGTCGGGACCCCGAGGGTGTGGAATGGGCTTCCCCGGGAGATGGTTGAGGCCCCATCAGTGAGAGTGTTCAAGGACAGTCTGGACATGCACATGGTGGACATGTTGTGAGCGGAGCCGGCTGGAGCCGGGGGTCAGACTAGATGGCCCAGGAGGCCCCTTCTGACTCGCTCTGTTTCTATGACATGGCCAAAGTGTGACAGTCTTTGGTGATGTTGGCTTCGAGTAATATTTCTGGTGAAGCTCGGTCTAGGACTTCTTTGCATGTGATTTTGGCAGACCAAGGGATGCACAACGGTAATCTCCAGCACCACAGTTTGAAAGCATTTAAATTACATGTACATTTAAATTATTTCATTCATACACACACACACACTGGGATGCTGTCCACAAGGAGTTTTGCCTGGCACCTTCTTTACATTCTTTTCAGCGACGGGCAAAGACCTTCCTTTAAAAAAATAATAATAATTAATGCCATTTGACCTTTGTTTTGTATTTCTGCCTGCATTTTATTGATCTCCTATTTTCAATATGATATAATTGGTTTAATCTTGTGAATGTGAACCACCCAGAGGAGCTGTGGCACAATTGGGTGAGATAAAATGTTTTAAATAAATATAATCTAGAAGAAGTTAGTTTTAATTAGATATTTTATGCTTGAGTTCTGCAGTAAGCATATTAGACAGGCACTCCTAATCTGTGATGAACATAAGTTTTGCTTGATGGTTAAGACCAAAACTCCATTAAAAGCACAGTCCTCATGTTTACACAGAAAAAGGCCTGAACCTTGTTCCTTAAGACACAAACCTTCCTTTTTTAAAGAAAAAAATAGCTTAGGTGACCTCTAGAAGGTTTAGAGAAATTCATAGAGATTTATTTATTGGATTTTTATCCAGCCTCATTAGCCAGAAATACTCCCTGAGCAGGTTACAAGATTGTAAAATATACAATAAAAAGTGATATTAAAGTTAACAGGTGATACAACAATACATTCCACCAAATAACAAAGCAATGTTAAAAAACTTCAGAAAACCTCAGATTTTTGGTCAACAGAGACAAAATGAAAGGCACAAGGGCAAATTATAAAACAAGATGTAAGGTATTAAAAACCATTAAAATTATCCTAACCATTAAAATATAGTGAATGAAAAGGTCTTCTGGTATGAGAAAGAGTAAAGAGAAGGCACCAGGCGAATCTCTCAGGGAGCTGGTTCCAAAGTTGGGGTGCCACTGCTGAGAAGGCCCTGCTTGTAGCCACCCTGCTGATTTTCCGAGCTCAGGGGTTATAAATCCTTATGGCAATATGGAACTTCCATGCTTAGAGGCAGTGCTACCTTGAACATGCTTGATCTTGTCGGATGTAAGAAGCTAGGCAGGGCCAGGCCAGGTTAGCACCTGGATGGGAGACCACCCAGGAGTACCGGGTGCTGTAGGCTGTTGGTTGATCTCTGCAGAGGAGCTAGCGGGGTGTGGTGCTTCGCAGTACAGGACTGGGACTTGGGGGATCTGGGTTCTAGTCCCCATTGGACCATGGAGCCTCCTGGGTGACTTTGGGTCAATCACAGACTCCCAGTCCAGCTTGCATCACAGGGTTGTTATTGTGGGGATAAGAGGGAGAGGAGGAGAATGATGTAAGCAGCCCTGAGTTAGAAACATAGAAATAAAGTGAGTCAGAAGGGGCCTCTCGGGCCATCTAGTCTGACCCCTGGCTCCAGTCGGCTCCACTCATGCAATGCCCAACATGTGCTTGTCCAGCCTAACCTTGAACACCCGCACCGATGGGGCTTCCAACACCTCCCTTGGAAGGCCATTCCATATCCGAGGGGTTCTAACCATCAGGAAGTACTTCCTGACATCCAACCTGAATCCAGATCCCTTGAGCTTTGCCCCACTGGAACACGTCCTGCCCTCCACTGCAGGAAAGAACAGGTCATGGCCCTCCCCCCATTACACCCCCTCACATACCTACAAGTCGCTCAGTGACCACCTCCCAACCCAGCTACCATTCTTGTGACCCTGCACTGAACCAATTCTAACTGAGCCATGTCTTTCCTATAATGTGGAGTCCAGAGATGGACACAGAACTCCAGTTGTGGGCACACCAGAGTTGTGTAGAGCAGTATCAACACCTCCCTAGAGCTGGAAACCATGCTTCTGCCTATACATCCAAGGGTGGTGTTCGCCCTCTTGACCACCGCATCACACTGCTGGCTCATGTTCAGCCTGCAGTCAACCAGCACCCCGAGGTCCCTTTCACAAGTGCTGCTCTCCAGCCACTGGTCCCCCATCCTGTACCTGTGACACCCAATCCTGTGTCCTGAGGGCAAGACCTTGCACTTATCCACATTGAACGCCATCCTGCTGTCCCCTGCCCACTTCCACAGCCTATCCAGACCCTTCTGGATCTGGATCACCCGCTCTCCTTGAACAGAAAATAGGTTGGATAAAATATAGTAATAATAATACCCTAGTTACTGGGTAGCAACTGCAGAGGAGAACTGGGTGCGTTGGAGCTTTATCTTCCAGCGAGTCAGCACCTGGGCCATCTAGCCAGGTGCTCTCCAGAACCACAGGTGCCTTGAACCCATACACTGCGCTTTGGGAGTGACCCAGTGGGTGGAACTGACTCCTTCAATGCACAGCATACCGTGAGAAACTGGAGGTGGCCAACTGACCACTGAAAGGCCGTCTTTACCTGTGCTTCTTCCTTTATCAGCAGCTCAACCCGCAGAAATCAACAGAT